TCTTCCTCCTGTGCCCTTGCCTTCTAATGTACGGCATGATTATGCTGATTCTGTTTGTCCATCCAGATTCTCTCTGCACTCTTTTCCATGTTGCTCTGTGCCCCCAGAGGACTCCGTGACTGCAGCTTCCCTGGGGCCCGCCAGTGGGGGGTGGGGGGGGTTGGGGGAACCGGACACAGGCAGGAGCTCCAAGCATGAAGTGATACAGAGTCCAGTCCCAAAGCTCCCGCCCCACCTGGGGCGCCACAGGTCCCTCTCACAGAGGCCACAGCCCACTCCCAGGGCCCACTCCCCAGAGCTCTCTCACAGGGTTCTGGTGACTGCCCCTTCTCTTGCCCCGTGAGGCCAATGCGTGGGCAGTGGTTCCCCACAGTGGGTGGTTCTTGGGTATGACACCATTTCTTGTTGGTTTCCCTGAAGTTTACCCACATCTTGGTAAATCCTCTCATTAAAGTCGTCTTGATCACTCAATTGAATGTCATCTGTTTCCTATTGGGACCACAAGTGATGGAAAAATTTACTCACTGTATTTATTGTCTCTTGTTTATCTTCCCCTTTAGAACATAAACTCCATGAGGGCAGAGATGTTAAGTGCTTCCTTCAAGGCCGTGCACTCCGTGAATGAATGAGTGAGCGTTCACTGTATCTGTACTATCTCATTCTGTCGTCCCTCGCCGCAGGTGGCTGTTGAGCACTCGCAGTGTGGCTGGTAGGACTGAAAAACCATTTTAAATTGCATTCAATATTGACTGTAATAGCCACAGTATCAGTCTTTGGGAACTTCCTGAGCATAAGGCCGTTCTGGAGCTCCCGAAGCCCACACAGCCCCAAGAGGAGTTTGGAGAGTGGCTCGGCGGCCTCCGCTGTTTGCTTTGCCCTGTGGAACGGCAGCGCCGGCCTTTCGGGTATGCTTCTGGGCCAGCAAACTCAGGAATGTGTGCCTTGATTTTATGCATTTACATTTTCATTTCCCTGCGAACTTTCCGTTTCTTGAATAATAGAGTTACAGTGTGCTCACCAGGCCCTTACAAACTTGCAGCTTACAAAAGGGCTCTGGCCCCTCGCCAAGGGAGTCTCCAGCTGCTGACTGACCCTGCCTGGAAAGTCAACTTGGAAGAGACGCAAATGTCCTAATCCTCTTCAAACCACTCTAAGTAGGTTTTATCCAGTGACCTGTAAAACCAAATTAGTAAAGGGACACTTTAATTCCAGCTCATTAGAGAGCTTCTAAAATCTTTGAGAAAGCCAACACAGCACATTTCTGTGCTGGGGGGCTGAGAAACGCATCCAACTTTTCAAAGCAAAATGTCCTTGCTTTCTGATGGTCCTTGCACATCACTCGACACACAGAAGACATTTTCTGAGGCTTTCACGGGGCTCCCCAGTGAAGGTGGGAGCGGGTTCCTAGAGGGAGAAAAATATGGTGGCCCAGGGAGGTCAAGTGATTTTCCCCAAGTTCTGCCAAGTCCCATCCCGGCTCTGGTCTCCTGACTCCAGTGCAGGGAACATTTGCACTGTTCTTATTATTACCCCAGGAGCTGGCTTATTGCACAATATCAGGAAATAGTCCATATGGAATCCTGGCCCACAGAGCGTACATGTTCTGCTTTTTATTCTGCAGCTTTTTTTATAAAGTGTGTTTTCCTTTCCCATAATGTCATCTGGAAGCAATTCCTTCCAACAGCTGGATTTGCTTTCACAATTGGTAAACACGTAAAATGGAAGGCAGGGGACGACGCGGAGCGTCACCGGAGGAGCCTTTCCCCCACCCGCTTGGCTCATGTTCTGAGGCTTATCTTGGGTCTCTGCACAAGCCTCATCAAAACGGAGAATGTCTTCAAACAAGCGACCCACACTGCATTCCCTCCTTCGGGGGGTCAACATGTTCTTTGGGGGAGAAATTTTCTGAATACTTTGCAGATAAAATTGATCAGATGCAGACCAGATTGCCAGCCACCCAGATCTTGGAGCTCCATGTGGAGGCCCACAGACCATCGTCTTCCCCAAGTTCCCACCATCCTGGTACCGCCAGGACTTCCGGGTCCCGCCAGAAGTCTCTAGGAGGGCACAGCCTTCCCAGCACCCCTGCCACCAGAGCCCATACAGGACCAGAGCCCAGAGAACGCCGACTCGGTCATCAAAGAAGATGAGTATTCCCTCAGGAGCCAGTTTTCACACAGGCGCAGGCAGAAGGCAGCCAGGACTCCGGAAGGCCGGGAGAACAGCTGTCATCTCGGTGTTGGCTCACACCCTCTCCTCTCTGGCTCCAGGGTCTCGGGGGGCCACTTCTCTAGGGGTTCACAAACACGGTTAGTTCTGGTCCAAGGGGTTTAGGGCATAGTTGAAGCTGGAATATAGTGCTGGGGGACAAAGCTCAGGCTTCAGGCACTCTCCCCCCACATAAGAAATGCTACTCTTTGATCAAAGTTTCAGATTTGGAAGAAATCAACCTAGCATTTGGCTGAACTCCCAGAGGGAGCACGCAAGGATACTGTTGACCAGGCAGCCCTACAGAGACTGAGAGGGTGCGTGTCACCTGGCCCTGCTGAGTGGATGCCCTCAACACGGTGCTGGCCTGCTGGGGTGGAGGTGGGATGGGAGAGGCTCCCTTCCCAGCACCGCCAACCCTCTAGGTAGCCGGGGTCCCACTCCACAAGCAGGGAGCATCCCTGTGTTGTGGCCCTTTGGCTGCAAAGCTCCCCTGGAAGAGATGGGTGTCCCTCCCACTGAACAAACAAAAGGAACTATCAAGGGCAGTGCTCAGCTGAGGACCCTGAGGAGGCCAGCTGCCCAGCTCCTCAGCACAAAGGACAGATAGAGCCCCTTTGCCCGGGCCCATGATGCATGGAGTGCTCTCCCTCTCACTTCTGCTTCCATCCTGGCATCCTTCTCTCTCCCTCCTCCAGGAAGAAGCTGTATCTTGTCCGGAGCCAGGGCACAGAAATTTCATCGTACATTTTTCCAAATGTCATGCCTCATAGCTGAAATTTTGAAACCCCGTGTTTCTGGTTGCATGCCAAGGCTGCCTCCTCCAGACCCCGGTCACTCTGGGGCCTGGACTGCTGTGAAGGGCCCTCAGGGTACACCTGGAGAGATTCGCTGAAGCCCAGGACAGAGGGGCAGGTGAGAACAACCCACTGGTGAATACTTCAAAGTGATCCTCTTACATTAAAGCATCTAGACACATAACAGCCATATGCAATGTGTGGACCTTGTTTGGATCCCAATTCAAACGTACCAACTATAAGAAGACATCTTGGCATAGATCAAGGAAATTTGAGTTTGGACTGCGCATCAGAAAATATTTAGGAATTTATTATTAATTTTGATATTGTGATAATGGTGTTGTGGTTATATAAGACAACACCCTCATCTTTCAAAAAGTACATACCGAACTATTTGGGGGTGAAATACGATGTCTATGATTTATTTTAAAATGCTGAAGAAAAAAACCTCATGAAGCAAATACAGTGTCTTAGTCCACTCGGGCTCCTATAACAGAATACTGTAGTCTGGTTATGAACAACAGAATCTACTTCTCGATGTTCTGGAGGCTGGAAATACAAGGTCAAGGTGCCGGCGGATCTGGTATCTAATGAGCGCCTGCCACCTGGTTCGCAAATGGTGTCTTCTCACTGTGACCTCTGGTGGCAGACAGGGTGAGAGAGCTCACTTGGATCTCTTTTATAAGGGCGCTTACCCATTTATGAGGGCCCCATCCTCATAACTTAATCACCTCCCAAAGGTCCCACCTCCTAATATCATGTTCAGGGTTAGGTTTCAACCTATGAATTGATGGGGGGCCCATAATCACTCAGACTATAGCATCTGGTGAGATGTTAATGGTTAAATCTAGATGATGGGTAAATGGGACTCTTTATACTATCCCCTCTACTTTTATGTTGAAAAAAAAAGCATAATAAAAAGCTTAAAGTGCAGACAGTTTTATCACAAAAGCTCAGAGGAGAACAGAACACACCTGTTGACTCACCTCAACGTGACTGAATTCTGTAATGAGGTTCGCAGTCCTCCTGCTGGTTGGGAGGGGTTAGCTCTTGGGTATAACAGGGAGGTGAGAGGGGCGGTCGAAGCTAATCCCTAGGAACTTTGACCAGGGACTGGAGCACCACCCTGGGCTCCTCTGCCAGGTGAGGAAGGGGAAGGAGCTCCTCTTCCAGGACAAAGGCAGCCTTCTGGGCCCCAGCTCTCACTGGCTTTGGGGCCCGTGGTTCCCTCCCATGTGTGCTGCATTGCTTCCCAAGCAGTTCAGGGGCCTGTATGGGGGAAAGTAGAATGCAGGCCACAGGCCGCTGAGTAACCACCAGGTTCTAGCAGTTCTTGCTGCTACAGCTCCCGATGGCTCTCGCCACCCTCAGCCACCAGCATTCTCTGCCGACTGATCTGCGCATGGGCCATCATCCCGCACCCACTCACGCACAGACATGGATCCAGGTGATGCTTTGCTGGGCCCCTTGGGAAGTTGAAGACTGTCTTCTAGGGGCGATGGAAAGGCCTCCAGTTAGAAAAGTCAAGGCAGGCCCAACACTTACTCTTTTCCTGCCCTGGCCCTTGGCACCAACTTCTGTGTTCTCAGTCTGGGTTCGTCCATAATCTTTAGCCTTAACCTGGTCTGGGGAAGAAGATTCTTTACTGTTATTTATCTTCTCTTTCTGGCTGAAACATAGGCTTTTTCTAAAAAACCATTTTTCCCCTTCCACTTTGAAATATTCTGGGTATTCTGCCTTTTTTTTTCTATCTTTGAGTAAAAGATAAGTGCCCTTTCCTGTCTGTCCTTTCTTCTCTTCTTTCCTTTCCTTTCTTATCTTTTCCTTTCCTTTTCCTTTTAGTTCCTGTGTAGTTACTATACAGTGTTCTATTCCTCTCAAGTGTACAATAGAGTGATTCAGCAGGTCCCTATAGCGCTCAGTGCTCAGGACAGTAAGTATACTCTTAATCCCATCTTCTATTTCACTCAAGCCCCCACCCACCTCTCCTCCAGCAACAGCCAGGTGCGCAAGCTGCAGGAGAAGCTGCACGAGCTGCGGAGAGTGAGCTTCCCCTACCTGAGCAGCCTGCTGCCCTTCAGCCGCGAGCCTCCCACGATGAACCCCGTGGTGGAGCCGCTGTCCTGGATGCTGGGTACCTGGCTGTCAGACCCGCCGGGAGCCGGGACCTTCCCGACGCTGCAGCTTTTCCAATACCTGGAGGAGGTGTACATCTCCCACGTGGGCCAGCCTGTGCTGAACTTCTCGTTCAACGCCTTCCACCCGGACACGCGCAAACCCATGCACAGGGAGTGTGGCTTCATCCGCCTCAAGCCCAATACCAACAAGGTGGCCTTCGTCAGTGCCCAGAACACAGGCATCGTGGAGGTGGAAGAGGGCGAGGTGAACGGGCAGGAGCTGTGCATCACGTCCCACTCCATTGCCAGGATCTCCTTCGCCAAGGAGCCCCACGTGGAGCAGATCACCCGAAAATTCAGGCTGAATTCTGAAGGCAAACTTGAACAGACGGTCTCCATGGCAACCACTACCCAGCCCATGACTCAGCATCTTCACATCACCTACAAGAAGGTGACCCCGTGACCCTTCGGCTTCTCCATAGATGCTCACAGCCCGTGTGGGCGTGGCCGCAGGCCTCGTGGGCCCCAGAGTGCTGCCACGGGTTCCTGTAACAGCGTAGATAAACCAAATAAAAGGCCTTTATTTAAAAAAAAAAAAAAAAAAGTGAAGAGAGTTCGTTCTCCATAGTTAAGAGTCTGTTTTTTGGTTTGTTTCCTTTTTTCCCCTTTGTTCGTTTGTTTTGTTTCTTTAATTCCACAGATGAGTAAAATAATATGGCATTTGTCTTTCTCTAACTGGCTTATTTTGCTTAGCATTTTACTCTCTCAATCCATCCATGTTATTGCAAATGGCATGTTTCATTCTTTTTTATGGCTGAGTAATATTCCATTGTGTATACATACCGTATCTTCTTTATCCATGCATCTATCGATGGACACTTGGGCTGCTTCCATAGTTTGGCTCTTGTAAACAATACTGCTATAAATATTTTGGTGCATCCATCCCTTCAAATTAGTGTTTTTGTTTTCTTTGGGTAAATATCCAGGAGAGTGATTACTGGATCATAGGGTAGTTCTGCTCTTAATGTGTTGAGGCACCTCCATTCTGTTTTCCACAGTGGCTATACCAGTTTGCATTCCCACCAGCAGTGTAAGAAGGTTCCTTTTTCTCTGCATCCTCACCAACATTTCTTGTTTCTTGTATTTTTGAGGTTAGCCATTCTGATGGCTATCAGGTGATATCACATTTTCATTTTGATTTGCATTTCCCAGATGCCAAGTGATGTTGAGCAACTTTTCATATGTCTCTTGGCCATCTGGATGTCTTCACTGGAGAAATGTCTATTCACATCTTCTGCCCATTTTTAAATTGGATTATTTGTATTTTGGGTGTTGAGTTATATAAGTTCTTTATGTATTTTGGATACTAATCCTGTATTAAATGCATATAACATTTGCAAATATCTTCTCCCATTCTGTAAGTTGTCTTCTAGTCTTGTTGGTGGTCATGTCTGTGCTTTCTCAGTAATGACCACAGCACCCAGTCCAAGTCCAGACCCAGACTGTAAAAGGTGATTAGAGAAGGTCAACATACAAAGGGCCAAGTGTGGGTTGTTCAAAAGCTGAAAATGTGCCCAGTGCCTGCTAGATTGTAAGTGCCTTGCAGGCAGGAATATTGTCCAGTGTGTACAAATCTATATCCCAGTGCCCAGAACAGGGTCCAGCACACAGTAGATGCCTAATGTTTTCTGGATCCATGCACTGTCTATGCTTTGGAAGGCTTGTAGCCATTTGTCCCACCCTGCTGTGCATGCCACATCTTACTTGCAGTTACTTGAAAGCAGAATAATCTTTCCTCTTATCACACCTCCATCATCCCTAATTGAGATTCAATAAATGTATATTAAACAGCTAGAAACACGTTTGTTCTTTTGGGATCTAGCTAGGGATTACATAATTGTAAAACAAAATCCCTCACCCATCAGGAGAGAAAACCATGGCTCATGCTATAGAAAGGGACAATTGCTGGAGCCCCTACAAGTTTTTCAAGTACTGTGTGGCAGCGAAGTTGATTTCCTGCCCCAGAAATCTGGCGAAAGAATTCACTGGAGGATTTAAGTCTGAGAAAAAAAAAAAGACCCAAGAAAGGAGGCAGAGAAGGGGAGGTCTTTTCCAGGGCCTAGAGATTAAGGCTATTTAGATACCACTTAAGAAAGGAACCAGATGCCAGGCAGGTTTGTGCTTCCGTTTAACCACGTCCCCTGCAAAACTTGCTTATGGGAAGATTAGAAGCTCTGACGATCATTACTGAAGGGGATTCAGAGAAATTATCGTCTACTCCGGGTTGAAGAGAGAACAAGTCCTGATCTTTTTTTGGTGTCAACCTCTACTGAAATGTGCTGTTGTCAAATCAAAAAGGGGATAGATTCGAATTTTACAACTCTGATGAAAGTGAAATAAAAGGAAATCTGTATCATCTTAATCAAAGCCTGTGCCACCTGAGTTGGCTCCCTGTCTCGTCCCTTGGCCTTGGTGACTCTCATGTGCTGGAGGTTAAGGGTTTGTTAAAGAAGATGGGTTTTGATTAAGTGTCACATTTAGTGTGATGTGACATGCTCTTTATCATTGCAAGGGAAGATTGGGGAACAGGGGGAGCTTTATAGCTAGTTCCCAATATAAATTAGGAGTCTTGGGGAATGGGTACTTTGCAGTTGGCCTTGATCTTTCCAGGGCCCAATGAATGTGTGTATGTGAGAGTGTGCACCCGTGTGTGTGTGTGTGTGTGTGTGTGTAGAGATGGCAGAAAAGCCAGTTTTCACAGGCCTGCGCTAATGGGCTGGTTACCCCACTTGGAGTTTGACTTGCAATTGTAACACAAGGCTCCAGTTCTAATGTATCCATGTTCTTGATGTGCTGGTCAAAGGTCTCCCCACCTTTCACTCCTTTGGAATTTCAGTGTTGCTTAGGGAAATCTCAAGCATTCATTCATCCCTCTTGGGGACCATAGCACAAATTCAAAGATGGAGAAGCAGGAGGAAGCATCGTAAGTGCCACATGCCATTTTTAACCAGAGGCCACGGATATTGCTTCCCCTGACTTCACCTAGACAAAGGAGAGCGGGCAGAGCCAAAGCCTCCTCCCTCCAAATCTAAGAAGTGCCACACATCTTCAGACTCAGATTCTGGCTAAAACTGGAGTAGTGAGAGCACAGTGAAGATGAGGTACAGTAAATCCCCAGAGTGCTCATGAGGAGGGAAAGGCAAGGGGAGGGGATTGAGGAAAACATCCCAGAGGGGACCACTCCCACCTGAAAAGCACCCCACCTCCGGATTAATCTTTCTAAAATGTCAACTTTTGGGGCACCAGGCTGCCTCAGTCGGAGAAGCCTATGACTTCTGATTTTGAAGCCATGAGTTCAAACCACACTTGGGGTGTAGAGATTACTAAAAATAAATAAATAAACTCAGAAAAAAATCATTTGCTTAAAGTCCTTTCCCTGCTCAAAACCCTTCTATAACCACCATTTCCCTACCCTCCCACTGCCTATGGAAGAAAATCCACACCCATTGTTCCAGCATCCAATGTCCTACATCCTGACACCGCCATATTGTCTACTCACTGCCTCCCAAATGACCTAACTTTCTCCTACCTTCTAGCATTTGCTCGTCACTCCTCTATGTGGGACGCCTTTTCTGTTTCTCTCCCCTAGGAAAGGCTGCCCGTCTTCCAAACACTGGCTACAGCCCTTCCTGTTTTATGAAGGAGTCACAGCCCACTGAGATGGTGCCTTTTTTATTCCAAAAATATTAATGGAGCTTCTACTGCTTTCTCTCCCAGAACTGCTCCCAACATCTAGATTAGGTCAGAAAACCAGACACAAAGGTATCTGCCCTCTAGGAGCTTACCCTGTTGTAGTTGGGGTTGGGGGGATGTGCTGGAAACTTAAAAGACAATGCCTCAATGTATTACTTAGTGGTAACAGTTGCTGTGGAAAAAGGAAAGAACAAAATAGAGCAGGGTAGGGGAGGCGAGGAGCTCCCTCAGTGTGGGGGCAGGGGGCTGGCCACAGTATTACAGGATGGTGAGATGGTGAGAGACTTGAGGGAAGCAAGGAAGTTAGCCAAGATACCAGAGGGAAGACAGTTGTTGATTTATTTTATTTTATCTTATTTATTTGAGAGAGGCGGGGGAACAGGCAGAGGGAGAGGATCTCAAGCAGACTCTGCACTGAATGCAGAGCCCAACAAGGGGCTCAATCCCATGACCCTGAGATCATGACCTGCGCTGAAATCAAGAGTCAGATGCTGAATTGACTGAGACACTCAGGCTTCCCTAGAGGGAATATCCAGAGTAAAGGCCTCCAGGCAGAACCGTCCTAGTCTCCTTCCTCCTCACTTTTCCAGGGGGCTCTACACACAGCATTGCCCCGGAAGAGGATCTGTGAGTGATGACAATATATGAAAACCCATAATGTTGAGTAATGAAGAGAAAGGCCTCCAGTGTTTGGTACTGGTGGTCTGCATTAAGGGAGAAGTTAAGCGAGTCATGGACATGTGCTTAGCTTTTTAGTGCTATGTTAATTGGTAATATTTTTTAATTAGAAAAATTATTTACTTCTATTCCTTTCCTACTCTATTGTTCAGGAAACCAACTTACATACATATCTGCAATAATGTTTGGTCCCCACTCTGTTGAAAGGCAAAACAGCACAGGTAAACGCCATCTCAGCTTACAGGATTCTTGCTTCCTGATTTTACATTAATTCCTGAAAACCAGAAATCTGTTCTCAAAAAGGAGAAAAAAAGGTATTGTAAAAAAACAAAACAAAACAGTTGCCTGGGTGGCTCAGTGGGTTAAGCCTCTGCCTTTGGTTCAGGTCATGGGATGGGTTTCAGGGTCCTGGGATGGAGCCCCACATCTGGCTCTCTGCTCAGCAGGGGGTCTGTTCCCCCCCCCCCGCTACACCCCCACTTTCCCCACCTGCCTCTCTGCCTGCTTGTGATCTCTGTCAAATAATTAAATAAAATCTTAAAAAAAAAAAAAAGAAATGAGAAACTAAGGAGCACCTGGGTGGCTCAGTCAGTTAAGCATCTGCCTTTTTTTTTTTTTTTTTAAGGTTTTATTTATTTACTTGACAGAGAGAGATCACCAGTAGGCAGAGAAGCAGACTCCCCACCAAGCAGAGAGCCAGATGCGGGGCTCAATCCCAGGATCCTGAGATCATGACCTGAGCTGAAGGCAGAGGCTTAACCTCTGAGTCACCCAGGCGCCCCAAGCATCTGCTTTTGCCTCCGGTTGTGATCCCGGAGTCCTGGGATCAAGCCCCCCCATCAGGCTCCCTGCCTGACTTCTTCAAAGGGAGCCTACTTCTCCCTTTGCCTACTGCTTCTTCTGCTTGTGCTCTCCTCCGCGCTCTTTCTCTGTCAAAAAAATAAATAAAATCTTTAAAAGAAAGAATGAATGAATGAATTGAGATAACTCATAAGTAAATGCCACTTTATGTTGTTGAAAAAAAAAAAGTTTGACAAGTTTGTCTCTTCCTTCCCAAGACATCTAGGCCAAGCTATGACAGGCTTTCTTTCTTTTCAGAGATGCTTCTTTTTCTGTACCTTTCCATCCTTTTCCACATTTCAGATGGGA